CTGCCGCGACCGGCATCATCCCCGTGCGTGTGCTACCCCCTCACAAGCATACCATCTACGACCGCGGCTCCGGAGGGCTGGAAGGAGCGCTTGGAGTTGGCGAACGGTACGCTTTCCGCTTTGCTCTCTCCAGCCATAACTCATCGTCCTCAAGTACTACGATGACGACACAACTTGCAGGAGCTCAGAGAGGGAGAAGAGGAGGGTTGGCAACGGCGATGGCGTTGCTGAGTAGCGCTGACTGTGTACGGGCCCGGCCACGATAGAGCAACACTGAGCAGGGGACGCGACGCCCAGTCTATTTGTGGACATCACTACTGTACTGTACTACTACATGAATATACAGAATTTTAATTCTATCGCACCAAAAAGAGTGGGATCATACCAGAACAGTGAATGACACCAGTTTTGATTCTGGGCCCAGAATCAAAACTGGAGGGGGGGTGTAAGGGCAACCCCGGAGGCCTGAGATCAAGGTCCTAGCAGGGGAGGATCCAAAGCGTGAACATTGGTAAGCAAATACAAATGGAGCTGACCTAGCAGGGGAGGATCCAAAGAGAAGAAACTCTAAGGGTCCGCCTGCTAGGGAGCTGGCTATATACTGCTTGTCCGTAGCTGCCGCTGTCGGGCACAGAAGGCTTGGGCGGCGTCGCAGGCAAGGTCCCAGGGCGACTGTTGGGAGGGCGTCGACAGATCGGTGATTGTACGGGCGAGATGGGGGGCCGGACCGGAGACGGAACCGGAATCGGACCGGAGACAGAGGCGTCTCCGAGGGGCCGAAAAGGGGGTTCCCCTGACAGGGGGCGTGAACATTGGGGCCAGTTTGGTTCTGGGGAGCTGGAAGAGCTGGAAGAGCTGGAAGAGCTGGGCCCAGCTGCCCCAGGAGGATTTTATTTTCCTGATGTGGCATATTCTGAGTTTTTCCTGCAGACTCTTTTTCCCTTCCGCGAACCGATAGTTTTATAGCTATGTCCTTCAATGCCTGCAACTATGGGTATCAGGATCACAACTCGGAATCACACTGGAGCGTTCAAATGCCGGTCTATCCCAAATCCGCGCCAATCTTACGATTGACTTTGAATCTAGGGCGTTGTTTCAACTTGTTGTTGTCTCCCACCGGTCGCCCGTTCGGACCTTCGGCATCGCGAGGGAAGCGCTGTGTATTGAATGTCAAGTTCTAGTGGTAAGTACTAAGTAGTAACACTGTAGTGTGTGGAATTTAGAAAACAAAATATCTGGTTTTCTTCAGGCGCCGGCTTGGTGAGATTAACGTTCTAATATGTTGGCAGAGTACTTACTTACCACTAGGCACATTCTCCCCAGCTGCTTGAGGGATGTTCAACACCACCGGACGCCGGCCCCATTCATCGATGACATTGGTTCATCTCAGCGATAAGTATCCCTTGGCTCTCGGGATCTACCAAGGCCAAATTCCGCCCACCGTCATAGGCACACAGTAAACTCGGACCGACTGCCAACTGGGATGTGACAAGAACTAATGTTGAATAAAAGTTGAAACAGAATGCAAATGATGAGCCGAGCCCGCATCGAGTGTGTGGCGGCGGGCCATGGCCACTGTGCCGTGGCACCGGCATATCATCTCAGCCTCTACATCTGAAGGACTGAAAGCATCGCCTACCATGGCGCTGGGCATGGCTGATTCCTATCACTGGGGTCCTGATCGCTTGGCTGGTGAGGTTACCCCATCGCCTAACACCCGGCAACGCTGGCGGCATGTCAAAATTTGACATGACGTTGCAATACAGGTTGGTGGTGTAAACTACATAAGTATGCGAGGGTCAATCCATACCCAGGACTTGGAGGGCAGGTCGTGAATGTGTGTTAGTGTTGGGTGGAAGCAACACAACCGCGAGGGCGAGCGGGGACAGTACTAGTGCGAGAGCAACGAGCTCCGGATCGGGCGGACATATCGGCGATGAACAGCGGAGCTTGAATCATACACGTGGGGAGCTTTGGGGGAGCGAGAAACTTGTAGAACTATGGAATACAGTGCTTTATATACTGGTAATAAAATGAAATGACTCCGAGGGCGAGTCAGACCGAGTTCCCGGGGCAGGCGACGCGTCGCCTCGCGTCCCGTCACCCCGAGGAATGGGAACAAAACTGGAGGATTTTTTTAAATTTTAATGAAGGTAATAATGACCCCAAAAAGGGACACCTTTATTTGTTGGGAAAAATGGATTTAAAAAGACCCAATAAGTAGAACAGCAATCTTATCAGAAAAAAAGGAATCAACATTGTTATACAAAAAAGCCTCTTATGCCCAGATATCTTCCATTTTTCCCACATATGCACCCTTTTTCTCCTACCATCTGAGAAATATTTTTCTGGTCAGATTTCCTTCCTATCTAGTTGACATTATTTAAACCTTTTTTTCTAATCAATAAAGGTCACCATTTTTTCAACCATTATTACCTTCATTAAAATTTAAAAAAATCCTCTAGCTTTCTTCTCAGTTGTCGGGGTGCGTCGAGCGCGTGTACGCGTTTGATGCGCGTGATGACGCGGCATGCTGACGTCATATTGCTGACTTGACGCGATCTCTGTGCTCGGTGGCTCAACACCACTTACGGCTCATACGAACGGGTGTGGAATAGGACACTGCCTACTCGTTTCCCCATCTACAGGCGGGGTCAATACATGAATTTTTATCACTCCTAAGTGTAGGCGATACAGTATGTTGCTAGTAATTTTGTAGTAATTGCTGCGAGCCGAGACAACTTAGTTGTTGGTCACAAATTCACCCGCTGACAGAACGGGGCGATAATTGAACCAACAAGTACCCAACCTGGGGCTTTTATGCATCATTGTCTCTGACAAGAGAACAGGAATGATGAATCAAGCCCTGTAGCTCTGACATGCCCATGATGCATCATGGCTCCTCTGGTTCCCTTGCATAATGACGCTGCATCAACAATGTGATCGCAACATCACATCTTCGCTGTCGGCGTCCATCACAGTGATCAGCACCCGTCCGCCATCGCCGTCGACAATGAGCACAGAATGTTGGTAAAATAATTCTAGAAAATTCGAAAAAAATTACCCGGGGTAGGTATATAGTCGCTCATCAACGAGCAGTGATTTATTCATGTGATAGGCAGGTGCCAATCCCCGAAATTACGCTGCTCCAGTACGGGCCTGTTTGGACCCACACTGCGCAATGCCCACAATCAGGCACCTAGCCACGACAGTGAGCCACAGGGCCCCGCCGACCCGGTTCGCAGGCAGCCTCCGATCGCTTCGCTGGCTTGTTTCTCAAGGTTCAGCACCTCTCCTTCGCCCTCTCCTCGGCGCCGCTTTGCGCACCTCTCCACACGCGACTGTGCACAGCTGGTTTTCTCGTCCCAAAGAGTGCAGAGACTGCTCGAAGAGATGCCGCGGCCCCATTTCCCTTCCATAACCCGCCGTTATGTATATCCACCCTCCGCCTCACGTGCCCGCTGTTCAGCGTCCGTCGCCCAGCGGATCAACGGCCAGTCTATCCTCCTCGCCCGCATTCCTGCCTCTCCTCACAGCCAATCTTGTGCCACCCCAGCGCTTCTGCGCGCCTTCCGGGACCATCCGGCGTGCTCCGGAAGGCCGCCGGCGTGCTCTACGCCTTGCGTCTTGCTTTCATATAGACCCGCCGGTGGTGGACTGGTCGCCGTGGGACGTCCTGTGGCCCCGTTGCCCCGCCGTTCGAGCCTCCCGATCTTGACCACCACTCATTTACCTGCTACACACTCCCGGCGGCGCCGGCCCGGTGCCGCGTCTAGCATCTGCGCAGGCACTGGTGGGCCATATGGACTCGGATTTGATGTCCATCTTGCGCTCCCATGCCCCAGATCGATTAGAGCTCACTGGCGCTGTCCACTGGTAGCGGCTCGCTCTTCCCGCGCACACACGGATCGGTCCCCCCGGCCCCCCCCCGCCCATTTGCATATAGCCCACTGCCCGCACGGCCTCCGCCAAGCCCCACTGTGTATCCTCCATCGAAGCATGTAGGATACTTGTCCCCTGTCGCTTGGGGAGCTTGTGCTGACCCAATGGTCCCGCTCCCGGCGCTCCACGCTCGGTCAGGCCCGCCGTTCTCCTCAACTCCATGAGAACCACTCGGAATACTAGGGCCAGGGCACTGCCAACCTGAGGCACTATCCTGCTCATGAATATGTAGACAAATGTATTACTGGTAATTGGCAATAATAGATAAAGGTCTCCAACAGTGGTTGCAATTTAGTGGTGGTATGCACCAATACTTCTACAATATATGAGTTCGGATAAAACTGCTGGATTTTCGTTCAGAAACGTGTACATAGGCGGGGGCTGACTACCAGACATCAATAGTATAAATCTCCTTACATATTTTGGTGAATTGAAGTCATTATCGTAGTTTTGTCGTGCCCCGATATTCCGTCTCACGCTCCAACGATGTCAGATGGATGCCGATCAACCCCAAGCGCGGAAAATAGCCGATGGCATTGACAAGCGGCTACTCAAAATGACATCCGCTGCCCCGCGCCCCGCCCACCCCGCGCCCTACAGCAACACTACAGCCTAGATGGCCTCGTGGCCCAGACTCCCACTGGCAGTCACCACAGAGCACAGTAAGAAGTGAGAGAATCAAGCGCCATCAGCGTTGCATGGGTTACAGTGTCACGCACGTGGCAAATTGGCAGGCGGGCGGCGAGCGGTGGCGCGGTGTGGAGGGGGAGGGCGGCGGGAACCGGGAACCGGGAAGCGAGGGCAAGCGGCAATGCTAAGCCCGGTCCGATGTGTCATGCAAATCCAGTCAGCAGCGCCGCGCGGGCCATGAATATCAACACGTGCGCAACTCACGTCATATACATGACACATGCCCAGCACAAGGGCGGGAAGCGGGAGCGGGTGGGCAGGTGGGCGGGAGGACGGCGGCGGGCGGATGAGTGTGGGTGGCTGCCAAGACAGCGTTAGAGAAGTGTCATGATGCATCAAGGCAGCTCGGAGCTAGAGCCCTTGATTCATCATGGCATCTCTCTCACAACTGTCTTTTGATTCATGTAATCCCCAGGTACGCCTGCCAACAATTTGCCCCCGACACTCGTGACGAATACGTCGTCTAAAGTATCCACCCAGCTCCCATTCTCTTCCATTCCAGCCCCGAACCGGAGTTCATACCGCTTCAGTAGGGCACTCGCAACCATCCGCATCTCGCACCATGCCAAACCTTTCCCGACACAATTGGCCGCACCATAGGAGAAGGGAATAAATGCACGGTGGTGGAGCCCTTCGTTGGATGACCCTAGCCAGCGATCAGGATCAAACTTGTCTGGATCCGGGAAGAAATGGCGGGGGTTGCGGTGGACAGCGTATGCGGGGACATAAACTTGCGTATTCTCTGGAATCATTTTCTGGGCGATAACTGTCGCGGCACCGGGGGGAATCTGACGTGGACCTCCAGTGGGGACAGGAGGGTAAAGGCGCAGGGCCTCGTTACTTTGATAATTTGTGGTTAGAGTGCTTATAGAAAAGAATCGTCAATAAACTCACAAACAGGCTGTCAGATAGGGCAATTCTCCGTGTTTCAAGGAGTCAAAGACGGAATCTGGATCGGGGTAGACAGCATCGACCTCGGCCTGGGCCCTGAACACGTGTGAAAACATCTGGATTGCTTAGCAGACACCAAATGAAGCTACATATACAAGTCATCAGTTGGAAGCCACCGGGGAAAAAATAAACACCTGCTCAGGGCGACTGAGGAAGTATCTGACCCAGCGACAATGGCCAATACTCCATCACCTATGACATCCGCCATGGTTGGCCGTTTCTTTTCATGACCTTCCTCGTCCATCTACAGTGGGTTAGCATTCATTGTAGAGATTTGGGAGATGGTGCACAAGATGAAACCATAAGTCCTTATTCCGAGTCGACTTCAAGTTGCCAGGATGGTCAGTTGCCCGTTTAGAGGCGCATGCAGCACCGAAACGACGTAAGTAACCGTTTGGTGTTCCGCGTGAGCATCGGTATTTTGTAGAGCGCAGGCGCAAGCCAAGGAAGCTGAGAAAGAACTGCGATAGTCCTATTTTTGAAAATTATCGCCATTTGGCTTTAGTCGAGGACAAGCGACTCACTTGGCACCATCTTTGATCAAAGTCCAATACCCTTCATTGTCTTTACCATCGCGAAGCATTTCGAACCTACCGCCGAAGTTGTATATGGCAGGAAGCAGACTTGCTAGTAAACCAGATGGAAGACTCACGCCATGTCGCCCATAAAATCAAACCTAACCGAGTTTATAAGTTGCATAATCACATGAGGGAAACACACATCAGATAGCTAAACCAAGCTGCGATGTCAATCTCGCTTCTTGTAGAAGCGAATTTGTCGAAATGTTCTAGCATTTGCTTGAGGTGTTTCTCTAAGATTAGCTCGAAAGCCAGAAGTGATTGAGAGCTCATTCCACGATTCCATATGCGCCGTCGGTTTGCGTGGGCGTCGCCGCGAGATGTAAGCAGACTACGGGTACCATGAATAGGGTCCACGCGAGGTTCATAGTCTGGGAAGACATATCACGATGTCAACTATCGTTCACCAAGAAAGACTCACATTGACCCTTGGGAAAGCCTCCCCTGCCAAACACCGACTTGATTGCGTCGACATGAATTACCGAAATCTCATTGGGGCCTAGGACGCACCGTGATCAGCGAAGTCGATCAAGTAAACATATATAAACTCACCAACGCGGACAAAATCGCCATAGTGGTCATGTAGAGCTTTGAACACTCGGTGTTGATCTCCGCTGAGTACAAGTCGTACGGACCACCACTTGCTGATCTTGGCCAAGGTTGGGCCGGGTATATGTGCTAGTGGATGCCATGGAGAGAGATGATACACCCCAATGGATAGTGCGAGAGTTGCGAGGAATATGAACGTCGTAGTCAACACCTTGGCTACGGAAAAGGCATTGAAGGCAAGTGTTAGCGCCACTGGCTGTATGATAATGGCCAAAAAGGAGACATTGATGCTCTGTGGCTCGCAACGATTGAAATAGACGTGATTTAGCTGAAAGAGAGAGAGAAAGAGAGAAAGAATTAGTCAGCTTGTGATGCCAGGGACAGTGTCGATTTGTGGTTCACGCACCAAGCCCAAGACGACTGCGGCGGCGGCGGGCGCTTGTGGGGTCATGGTGAGAGCCACGATTGATACTCTTGGTCAGTTCAAGTTTGGATGACGGAATTTACATACATAAATATGGAAGACTGATGAGCTAGCTCCGTCCTGTGACTTATAATAGGTATCTTGAGGAGTTGCCCAATCCCGTTGGCGCGATATGGACGACGTCCTTCCCTGCCTTGACAGCGCGGGTTTGATTTGGCTGAGGCAGAGACGCTTTCTGAATGCCTTCTGTCCCAGCCTTCATGGTCCATGTGTGGGGCGGGTTTTGGTGGTGGTGGAGTTGCTTTGGGGGACAGTGGGGATGGATTGGGGCTCGGGGCCCGGGCTTGGAGGGCGGCGGCTGTTGCTGTCATCATGGTTGACATGAGATATCCCCGCCGGCCCGGCATATGACAGGTGTGAAAATAACCCTTATCGTCGCAGCTGACCATGCCAGCTGCTGATCTAGGGTAAGTAGCCCGGGGCAAAGCCTGGCTCGATACTGGTGTTGTTGGTAGCCAAAAGAAGAAAAAAATAAATTCCCAAAAAGGAAAGAGAAAAAAAGAGAAAAAGAGAGCTTCCCTAGGAATTGCATATGTCTTACTATACACTCAGATCTGGCCTACAATATTGAACAATTGCTCTTCTAAATGTCTATAATTTCTTTCCGGCGCCTGCGGCGCTTGAACCGCCATCCAAGATACTGTCGGCTAAATTTCCTTTTTAGTATTTTCTCTCCGGGTGTGAGCATTCACCGGCCCCGGTTCTCGTGACTGATCCAGATACTGGATCCAAAAAAGGTTTATTTCAGTGACTGATTGCCAGTGTCACATCACGGCAAACCTGCCGTGATGTGTTCCCAGTGATTGTCAAATATACACAAACAATTGGACAACCCTCAATATTGTCTATACATGTATGCGAACTAGTGGAAGTGACAATATATATCCAAAGTTTGAGTGTCTTCACCCCTTCCATATCTCTAGGCACAACTAACACCAGGATAGAATCAAAGAAATAAATTTACCCTTTCCTAAGTTTTATTTCCCCTGTGGACAGCTCCATGGACCTTTCTACCTTGAATATGCACAAATGATAGCAGTAATAGCCATTCAACTATTCCTGCAGAGATCTGCATTTTTATCCAGGGAATTCAGGTCATGAACTGTAATTTTCGATGAAATTATTAAATTACTTGATAATTATACCATAGAAATTTTCCAAACTTGGCATATTTCAAGGTATCATGCATATCTAACCACACACCAATTTCCAGCTGAATCTATCATCATTTCAGTGCACAGTAGCACAATGGAGATTTTATATCACATGGATGGCCCAACTTAGAGGTAATACTATGACTAATTTTCACTATCTGCAGTATCTACCAGCAACACGAGTATCTAGCCCAAAGCCTGGCTCGATACTCGTGTTGCTGGTAGATAGTGGGATAGTGAAAATTAGTCATTATATTGCCTAATATAGTCGAAATTTCCCACTGTCCCAATAACATCCCCGCTGCCCATAATAGCCATCAAAAACACTGATGGCTGGTCTACAATTCAAGTTCTACACCCCACCCTCTGATGGCACTGATCTACAGCCTGATTTGGGCAATAACTCAATAACTCAAGCCCCCAAGCGCAAGAGGGGACGGCCTAAAGGGTCCCGCAAGCAGAAAACCCAAGAGGTTCTGATTGGGATCAGTGAACCATCAATCACAGGTGATGTAGGAGGTTCAACCACTCTGGAGAGTCAAACTGGAGTAGAAGAGATGGACATTGAGGTATGTGGGCTATAAATTGGTTTTGTTAGCTAGGAATAATATTTGTTAACCAATATTATTATCAATGCGCAACGTCAACGCGCGGGCTTGAAACTGAGTTGCAGAAGACAAACACGGTCGACATGTATTCCAAAGAAGACACGATTCGATGATCGTGAAGGCCGCCGAAGGTCCTATGGCCACCACAACCACGACTTAGCTCAACACGGGCAACTGCTCTTCTTTTAAAGCTACGCTTCCTCGAAAGCCAGCTTTGGAGACCCCCCATCCTCCCTTATCTCTGCACTGCCGATCCCATAACTCCCCTCCGCCAATCCTTCCACATCATCTATCTTCAACCCCCCTCTCCTGCTACCTGGGAGTCGCTGAACAAGGCGGAGGCGCTTGAGGCGCGGCAATTGCACGAGAAATGCGGCAAACACCTCGTCATCGAGCTCGAACCCGCCGGGTACGGCCAAAACTACGATGGTCAGGCCTGGAAAGCGGCCCAAGTTAGACAATGCAGTTCCAGTGACTTTCCAGTATTCTGACCAGCTCACCTCCACCTTGGAGGAGAGAGTGCTGAAAAAGAAGGTGTGCAACGACTGGGCCGGGCCGGGAAGCGCCGACGCGTGCCAAGGGCGGAGAAGACACCTGTTTAGCCCACCCAACACTGTGAATTATCAGTGGTATTGTGCCGGGGTGCCATTGATAAGGCTCAGTATTATCATAACATCCCTAGTGGCGAATAATTGTCCCAGAGGGGGGTGAATAAAGGTGAGCTCCAAGGCAAAATTCGCACTAAGTCCAGAATATAGGGGGTGAATAAAGGTGAATAATACAACACTGGCCATTTGCACCAAGTTTCCACGAGTCACACCATGTGACATGTGACACTGTGACCTAAAAAGGAAGTTTTCTATTGATCAATACTTGAGCTGATGGTTTCAGCGCATATGTCACATTGTTTTTGTCACATGGAGCAATAAGCATAACAAATTTCCAAAAAAGGAAATTTTCACTACTTGACCCTATAATCATCAGAGAATGTCACAACTGGTCACATTCTGAGAGTGGTCTATTTTTAACCATATGAACAACTTTCATTAAGTGATACATAGTGGTAGTCCACTAGTCACATCACAACTGTCCAATTACTAGCTGACGTACAACTGATGGGCCTCTATCTCTATAACCACTTGAGGTAAAAACATGATTCAAGTACTATCAGGAAGGTTTTCAAGAGTATCATGATTTTAACCTCACATTTGATCACTGTTATATTATATAATGACTATATCAGAATAGGTGGGTACATGTATATACTTCATTGATTGAACTTGACATATTTTGATCCATAATCAACTAGCAGATCATAGCTGTATTGCCAATATGATGTGTAATAACAGTCATATGTATAATGGACAATAACAGAGGATAACGTGCATACAGGCCGGTGTGAGGGATATTTTCTTATAAGGGTACCCCTCTGTGTGCTTTCTACTATTGCCCCATTGGCAGTCCCTCATGTCTGAGTGAGTTATTAGGAGATTGGCACAATAAGATCTCTGGCATATATACAGACATATAGAGTGTCTAAAAATGAATATGTTGCTCAGAGCTATGAAGGAGATTCATTAGTTTATAAAACAACTTAGATCATGGCTATCCCTGCATTCCTTGCCTAGATATCAGGTCATCATTATGCTTAATCAAATTTGAAGAACCAGAAAGACAAAACAGGGCCATAACAGGATAGTCTAAAGGTATGAGACTATACTTGTATTAGATCATATCATGATGACATAACTACCTACCCACTAGTGAAATGATCATCTGAATGCAAGAAGAACTGGGGAATATATTGCTTGATCAATAAGTCTGATGCACAATCATTAGGCAGTGTACATCTACTGATAATATCATTTGATAAGAATATTGCTTTCATTATTCAAATGTCCCCAGTAGTGCTTCAATCAACTCAGTAGCTTATCTAGTTGTTGAGATATCATCTCATCAGTTGTATATCAGTTAGTGATTGGCTCATACTGATGCAATTATTGAGCTGGCAGTACAGGTTACCTAATAAAAGTTCACTATATAGTGAAGATATACAACTTTGATTTTGTGACAATATGTGACATTTTCTGGTGGTTGTACTGTCAAAAGGCAAAAAAAAATCCTGTTTTGGAAATTTGTCATGGTTGTCACACTCAGTAACACTGTATAATAGTGAGACACAGGTGCTCCGACCAGCTCAAGTATTGATCAATAGAAAACTTCCTTTTTAGGTCACAGTGTCACATGTCACATGGTGTGACTCGTGGAAACTTGGTGCAAATGGCCAGTGTTGTATTATTCACCTTTATTCACCCCCTATATTCTGGACTTAGTGCGAATTTTGCCTTGGAGCTCACCTTTATTCACCCCCCTCTAGGACAATTATTCGCCACTAGGGATGTTATAATAATACTGAGCCTTGTCAATGGCACCCCGGCACAATACCACTGATAATTCACAGTGTTGGGTGGGCTAAACAGGTGACAATTAGTAGAAAGGTATTGGAACAGAAAGAATGGCCAGGCCTATATACAAGTTGAACATGAATCTGATGAGAATGAGGGAATTTCTGAAATGGAACTCATAAGAGATGAAGCTCAGAGTGAATTAGTACAAATTCGTCAGTATAAATATGAGCTTCAAAAGAGAGCTGCAGCACCAACTCCAGAGTTACATACCATGATGGTTCAACCTACTGAAAATAATGTAACTGCTGTTGTACAAGCAGTTCTAGCTGTATTAAATGTGCAGAAGGGCCATGAACAATTTGTGACTACTAGAGGAGGTAAGCAAACCTCAGAGTCCAACTTGGATTTTTAAAGAACTCAAGGATGGAGGCCAAACAGTCTTCAAAGCCTCCTGAGAGAAAATCTACATCAGACTCATCAGTAAATTGGAGAAAGCAACAGAAAAATAGAAAAGATACTAATGAAAGACCAGAAAAAGAACTAAGGAACTCTGAAAAGCAAAGAGTTCATGGCTCAAATATTTCTGAGGGAATTTCAAGAGAAACCAGTGTGGAATTACCTTATAAACTTGTCAAGCCTTTGAATGAGGTTACTCAAGAATCAAGTTCTGAAAAAGAAGAGCAACCTTTCAAACAATTTGAAGTCAATCCTGATGAAAAACTCTACAGGATCAGGGCTCCAATTCAAAGAGAAGGCCTTGCAAATGAGGTAATGGATAGGATTCATGAGACAACCAT